CAGACCAAGCAGCCTCCCATGGCGTCTCTTCCACCATCAAAATTTAATGCAAGCCCATCGTTTACTTCAAATCCATCCCTAAACCGTCATTCCAGCCTTGTCTTCATTACTCTGCAAATGTACCGCCCTTGGGTCAAATCATTCATTCGTGCATTTAGAAACATCGACTTGGTGCTGTGATGGTGGCCCCGTGGGCACCAAGGAGCTATTCCCCGCTCCTCTGGGGTCTGTTCGCCACCACTGGGTGCCGGTGTCACTTGAGTCGAGGTGTCCGTGGGGGACCAGCGGGAAAACGCAGACAAGGAACCTGCTCACCACCCATCAGGCCCAACGCAGGCATGGGCACATCTTCCTCCTCTTGTCGCTCCGTCTGTCTGGGTCTCATTGAGAAGAATGGTGTGTAAAGACTGTTGGCAGGTACAAGGAAGAACCGGGCGCACAGCTGCGCTTTCCTGTTGTCCGCGCTCATTTCCCAGTGAAGGGCCTGCTGTACCTTCCCTCTGAGAGCACTCGGCACAAGGGGGCGTCTGTCAGGCTGCCACTGGCCTCACCTGGGCTCCTGGGCTCTGGGATCTGCCTCCAGATTCGAGGTTGCTCAGCTCCTGGCCAGATGCTTCTCCTTGGATTCTTCACGGCACGCCGCTCGGTGCACGAGGGCAACGCGGATGGGCTTGCTTCTCTCTTCCTGTGGCTTCCCATCCTTTCCACGGTGAGAGCACGCTCAACAGGCAGACAGGCGTAGGGGTACCCTCCTCCCCCGCCCACCTTGGTCGTGTGGGGTTGCCCTGCAGCTGGGTCCCAGATGTTCTCCTTCCCTGGGTCATGATGCGACAGCACATCATCTCCAGGCTCTGAACTGGATTACCGCTTTTGTTCTTCCTTTAAAAATGTGTTTTGACCTAAATATTAATGGCAAGACATTTCCATTGCCAACAATTTTGGAAATGCAGAAAAAGTATTCTAACTTTTGATGCTTAAAAAGAAGTAAATTCTGAGTGGATATTATGTCAGTTTTAAGCCTTTAACATGAGAAAACAGAGCAGCCCCAAATCATCACAATCCCAGAAAAATCACAAGGTACGTCTGGTGCCACCCGCAGAAGGCGCTGCGTGAACCTGAGTGGCCAGCGTGCTCCCAGGTGGGGCGGACAAGGCACCGCTCAGACTGTAAGCACGTGTTCTTTCTGTCTACACAGTGCCACGTTCTTCACATTGTGTCCCAAACCCAAGGAGGCTGCGAGGTGCCTCCCAGAGAAAACATCTTGGGCAGGTGAGCTTGGTGCAGGCGGGAGTCAGAGCTGCTGGCCATGAGTTCAGTGTTAACAAATCCAGATACGCATCAGATCGGGCATCTTTAAACAGAAACACACGTGCATCAAGGTTGATGAAATCATGAACATGTGAGCAGAGGCTCCCGGCACCTCACCTGTGTTTCCTCTGGAGCCTGAGTTCAGTGTTTGTAACTCAGGGTTCATGGTGACCTTGTAGAACAGGACCTCCCTGAGTACCGAAGATCGACTGGAGACCTGCCCCGGAAGAAAGCGAACTCACACACGGTGCAATTGCTTCCTAATGTATGTGCATAATATATGTTGTTATATGTAAGTTATATAGTGGTATAAATACACGTGAATGAAATGTGTATTCTCTATGAAGATGACTGTAGCTGTGGGTGTACATTCACGTAGACATATTTTAGAGCAGTTCTTTGTCGTTTTTTCATATAACAGATACGTTTTTCTGCTGGCTTGCAGGCAAGAGGCTGGCAAGACTTGTAACGAGATCTAGGGCCCGAATCTCTGCCCTAACCACCCCTGGGAGACCCGCGTGGGCGAGGGAGGCTGCTTTTGCCTTCCCGGAGGTGAGTGTCTGGAGAGCTAGCCGAGGCCAGGTCTGAGTTCCTGAGTGGCCGTGACTTCATTCAGCCCTGACCCTGTTCTAGCCAGTCCGGCAAGCTGAGAGCTCGGGCGCTGGGGCCTTGTAGTCAGCAATATGTTAGCCTAGAAATAAAAGGCCTTTCAAAGTGAGAGGCAACAAGCGTTTCTTTGGGATCAACAGGAACAGCTGTTCAGGAAGCACTGATTCAAGCAGAAGCACAGGTGATGTTCCAATGAGGAGACACAGGTGATGGGCGTCATGAGAAAGGAGAGGGGACAGTGACATCCATGGCAGGAAGGCATCACTATTGGTGCAGACAACAGTGACGCTGATTCCAAACAATATTGTAATTTTCAGTCGTGTGGTCGTCAGACCAATAGCCACGATATCTGCTTTCTCGTCATCTTCACAAACAGCTCTTTGGGGCACAATGTTGCCGTGGGCCCTGGGCCAAGGCTGCTCTGTCCTGTTTTGACATCCAGAGGTTTGAGGACCAGTCGTGCAGGGCAGGCCCTCTGCGATGGCAGCTCCGGCTCCATGTGGAAGGGACTCCAGTTATTACTTATTCATTTGTTTTGACACTTGAGCAAATGTCGTGAGCTGACCTGGGAGAAGAAACTTCATGTCGTTCTGGAGTCGACACAGCTGCACGGGAACCACAGCCCACACCTCCCGGGGCCCCGTCTCCCACCCCCACGGTATCCCCAGTGGGCCCAGAACATCCTCCAAGCTTAACTGTTGGCTCCCTTTGAAAAAAATCAAGCCAACCTGCAAATGCGTCCTCAGAGCTCACTGTGAGTTCATTAATGCGGCTCTTGCTGTCTTATTATTCTCAGATTCAAAGCTAATTTGGAAAGCTCCACGTTCCTTTAAAGTTGCTGGTTAAAGGGTCTGGCAGCCGAGTAAATGAAGGGAGAGCGGCTTCGCGTGCGATCCTGTAGTCAGAGGCAGATATTAGATTATGGTCCCGGCACTCCACCCACAGCTGCTCCTGGACACTGAGGGGATGTGCGTTGACCCCTCGTGAACTTCTCGAGGCTGCCACGGGCCCCAGGTCCTGACGGATATCCACCAGGCACCACTCTGTGGGAGGGCACTGAAGGAGCCCTTGGTCCCAGGAGTCTGGTAATCAAGGTGAAGGTCTGTAGTGATGAGCCGTGATGACAGATTGCTCTGGGTCATCCACACGAGGAGAGTCTGAGGAGCTGCCACAGCCCAGAGGAGCCTGAGGGCACGTGCCACCAAGTGCCACCTGGGGTCCTGGCCCAGGCCCTGGGGCCGAGGAGAACATCAGGGGAGGAAGCTGCGGAGTTTAGTTAACGATAAGGACAGCGTCAGCGGTTCTAACACGGCGGTAACGTGAGGAGTTGGTGAGGGGCCGCTACCTGTGGGTGTGAGAACTCTGCATCTCACACCGCTCTACTATAAACGCTCATCAAAGTTCACAAGTGAATCCAAATAATGGCATAAGAGAGAATAAAGTCTCTTCCTTCGGGCAGATCTAAAGAGAAAAATATTCCCCTCCGTGGGCTCCTGGGCGCCGGCCCTGATGGCCCCAATGAGAGGTCTATGTCCAGTAAGGAGGATGCTTGATGGACTTGTGGGCTTTCCCGCCTCAGGCCCCGCAAAAGGAGTGACTCTCTGGCGGCTGGAGCGGCTGAGGGGCGGCCTGGGGGGCTCCCTGCTGACCCACTTGGACCATTAGCCCCGCAGAACGGGCCTCATTTGGAAACAAGGTCTTTGTGGATGTGGCAAGAGGAGGTCACCCTGGATGGGGTGGGCCCCAGGCCCCTGGTTTTGTCCTCGAAAGGAGAGGGGGGATGATGTGAAGACACAGAGGGGCCACGGGACCAAAGCAGAGGTTGGGGTGCCACAGCCACAAGCCGGGCTGCCAGCACCCCAAGAGGCTGGAAGCAGCAGGAGGACCCTCCCTAGATTCTCCAGGAGCCCGGCCCTGGGGGTCCCCTGATCCCAGACTCTGCTCCAGATAGTGGAGAGTGAACGGGAATCGGGCTGAGGGAGGGTGGGCCAGGACCTTGCCTGGTAGGTTGTGGGGCTGGGGCTCCAGTCTGCCTCCCGGAGGGTTAGGGACCGCTCCCCCCTCAGGCCCCGGGAGGTGAGATGGCAGCTCCAAATCTGGGCCTCGGGACCCGACCGAGGACACTGGGCAAACAGCGGACGGGTGTACCTAGGACTGGAGCTTTCCAGGCCGTGGACCCTTCGTGCCCAAACCAGCCAAGTCCCGGGGAAACCAGGTGCTTGGTGGCCCTCTGGGGGCTCCAGCGAGGAGGCAGCCTGTGGGACAGGGCCAGCCCCCATTCCTCACTGGTCTCAGGAGGATCTTGGGCTGCTGCCTTCGGTGAAACCTGTGCTGAAACATGGTGGGGCGGGTGTTGGGGCGGAGGCCCTGCTCACACGCCCAGGCCGGGACACCTGGAGGATGCCACTACCTGGTGGGCCTGCGGGGGAGGGGGTGGGAGGGGGGTGGGTGGAGCCGGGCCAGGCACTCAGGGTGGCCGCCCGGTGACATGCTGAGACGTCAGATCTGTGCTCTGCGGCCTCCACCCCTCTCACTGCAGGAGGGCATGGCCTGGGCCTTTGGTGACTTTGTGTCTCAGCCCTAAAGCTCCCGAGGGGCCTCTCTGTTCCCCGTGGGGGAGGAGCTGGAGGGGCTGAGGGGCCTGGGGTTTGGGTTAGGGTTGGAGCCTCCTCTATAGGCCCTGGTCGGGCTGCTGGGGGCAGGACAGGAGCATGTGACGGTGGTCAGGGATAGGGTGGGGAGGCCACGGTGCCCCTGCTGAGCGTTCCTCCTGCAAGGCCCGGGGGCCCCCACACGGCCAAGAGCAGGGGCTCAGCCACTGGGGTCGGAGATACGAGAGGAGCCTGGAGTCTCCAATGCTGTGTGCATGTGCGTCCGGCTGTGCAGGTGCCGCGTCCCGTTCACCTGGCATCACTACATCAGGACTGACGTGTGACTGTGAAATGACACAGTACCATCTCATGGCTGTGTTTTTATTTTTATTTATTTATTATTTAAATACATTTTTATTGATTTTAGAGAGGAAGGGAGAGGGAGAGAGAGATAGAAACATCAATGATGAGAGAGAATCATCAATGGGCTGCCTCCTGCATGCCCCCTACTGGGGACCGAGCTCACAACCTGGGCATGCGCCCTTGACCAGAATTGAACCCGGGACCCTTCAGTCCGCAGGCCAACGCTCTATCCACTGAGCCATACCGGCCAGGGCTCGTGGCTGTGTTTTTAGAGAACTATCTGTGCATCTGTGTCTTGGTGTGTGTGGCTCCGTCACCATCATCCCACGTGTTGACTTCACACGTTTGCAATCACTTCCCTGAGGAGGACCCGTGGGCACAGAGGTCAGCAGGTCTGCGTGTTGTGGGCATGGGTGCCGTGTGTGTGCGGGGAGGGGCGTCTTCTTGGAGGCTCCAGGGTTTCCTCCCTCCAAACGCGCAGCTATCGCCCATCTGTTTCCAAAAGGAACCTGAGGTTGTTTACAAGAAGGAAGACACAGTCAACGGGAGGGTGACACATGGCAGAGAGAAATGTTACGTCGTTCAGAGAGCGGGTAATTATGCCGTTGACTCTGAGCGTCCCAGCAGACAAGGCAAAAAGGACCCTCAGCCGTGAAAGGAGACAGATTCCTGGGGGCCAGCTGCTCTCAGCACAGGTGCGTGTTCAGAAGGCTCTTTCTGACGTCAGATAGAGAACGTCCTTCCAGATTGCCTCTAGCTGGGTGCTCTTCCCATCCCCCCGCCCCCCAGAGCAGGGTCCCTTGCACAGAGGAGGCTCCTCAGGGCAGCGGCTGCTCCATAGGCACCTACTGGCTCTGAGTCCACTCCACCCCAGCCTCGCTCTACCCCTCAGCCCCAGCTTTCAATCTCAAGCCCATTTTAAAACCTTTTTGTATTAAAAAAAATCTATAAATTCATATATCTTAGAATAATTGTATTGAGGCCAAAGTGTCCCTAACAGTACAAAGTATCAGGTTCCAGTAACACCCGTCGATTGAAACACACCCACACGCAGCAGAAGCCATTCCAGTATTTGTTTCTCTTTTCTTTCTGGAAGTTCGTACTGTCTGACCACTGTCACCATCACCAGCCCACCTGCCGCTGCAGCCCCCAGTCTGCCCTGTGTCTGTGAGTTCGGTTATGTTTTTGTGTTTTTAGATTCCACACGTAAATGAGCTCACGCGGTATGTACTTCTGTTGAAGAAGATAAAGGGCATGTTAGACGAGATTTAGCCACATTAGATTTGAATTATTCAGTTTTACCTGCATTTGGAAAAGATCCATTCATACAAAGGCCTGGGAAGTTTTCCCGAACGTGCTCCACCTGTTCTCTGAGGGGTCCTGGGCTAGCCGTGGGCAGCTGCAGGGTCAGGGTGAGCCCAGGGCTGAGGCCTCTGTGGAAGGCAGGCCTGGACAGACCGTCCCTGAATACAGAGCATCTGGACAGACAGAGCGTCCTGGACAGAGTGTCCTGGACAGACAGGTGGACCTGGGCAGGCCCGTGGGCTGGGCCCTGCAGGGCCAGCCTTGCAGGAGCTGTCGCTATTGTGACATTGCCCTGGAGGTTGATGAAGATGTAACCCCACAGAGCTGTTGGCTTGGAGCCCGAAGTCACATGCTGACATGCTGCCTCCTGCAGGTGTTTGTTTACTTGAAGCCATTTCACAGCACAGACCTTGAAGTGAGGAATGCGTGCATGTTGCTGGGTGTTTAGAAGAAGATTAATAGATTATTTGTAACTCCTTAATGAAAACATTACGCACGCCTCGCAGCCGGCTCTGTCCTGCTCATTTCCAGGCTGCTAATTGCCGGGGCATATACGCTCTATTGAGAAATGCAGGGCCATCCATACTCTCAGCCACATTCATTAAAATATAATTGCTCTAATGAAATTCTTATGGAATAAGGCATAGTTCAAACAAAGCATTGCCTTCCTAAGGGTTGATTTTCCTGGCCAATTACGGAAATGACTGCGGAATATCTAGCGTTACTTCAATGGGTTTCTCCTGGTAAATCCATCAGAGGGAACATTCCAGAATCTCGCGGGGCTCACTCGGGCTGTTGGGACCTCCCAGTTTCACCTTAGACACTCTCCAATGGTTAAAAACTCCGCAAAATAGCCCTGGCAGGCGTGTCTAAGTGGTTAGTGCATTGGCGTACAGACTGAAGGGTCTCAGGTTTGATTCCTGGTCAAGGGTATGTACCTGGGTTGCAGCTCATTCCCTGCTTGTATGGGAGGCAACCAGTCAATGTGTCTCTCTCACATTGATGTTTCTCTCTCTCTCTCTCTCCCCCCTTCCTTCCTCCCTTCCAATAGCTCTCTTAAAAAAATAAAAAAACTGGAAAAAATATCCTCAGGTGAGGATTAACAAAAAAAATCTCCAAAAACTCCACAAAATAATGCAAACCCCAGTGGCTCTCTGGCTCCCCCTGGAGGTGAGATCTGGGGTGGCTCTGCTTGCTGTGAGGGTGTGTCCAGGACAGAGATGGGTACCCTGGAAGGAGTCCCCAGACCTCTGACCAGACTCCCTGGCTTAAGGAGGCCGGAAGCTGGGTCGCCTCAGGTGAACTGGTTTGCGATGCAGCCAGGAGGCCAGAGAGCAACTGCCTCCTCTCACCAGTGGACCTATTTTAAAAAAATGTTTAAAAAATTGATTTCAGAGGAAGGGAGAAGGAGAGAGAGACAGAAACATCAATGATGAGAAAGAACCATCCATTGGCTGACTCCTGCACGACCCCCACTGGGGAATTGAGCCCGCAACCCAGGCACCTGCCCTGATCGGGAATCGAACCTTGACCTCCTGGTTCATGGGTCGACGCTCAACCACTAAGCCACACTGACTGGGCTCCCCAGTGCTCTTTTTAAAGCAAATTAATGAGAAAGGAGCTGGTGTTAAAATTGACCTTTCACACCAGGATGGAGCCCTCTTCTCGCCTCAGCAAGGCCCTGGGCTCCTCTGGGACTGTTGCCCGCCTACAAAGAGGGGGACAGCACACACTGTGAACGGGGTCAGCCTCAGGTGCCCCTTCCTTGCTGGGACAGATTTGATCATATTTGCTACGGGATTCCCATTTTTGAAAAAATCTGATTGAAACGATTTGGCAAATGGGCGGGTCAACCTTTGTCCCTGTTCCTGCCGTAGCCCGTGCCCCATGGCCCCAGGCTGTCCCCACAGAGCTAAAGCACAGACCAGCCACCCCAACCGTCCACCCCCGGGGCGCCCTGTGAGCCCACTGGGCAGGTCCCGCTCCCGTGGTGACAGGCCAGCGTCACAGGACAGGAGCTGTGCGCCTGGCGCACCGTCTTCAGCTCTGTCCACGCCAGCGGGGTGACAAGTTAGACTGTGACCATCTCCCGCTGGTCTGAATCTTGTCTGAGGCCAGGCAGCCGGCAAGTGGCAGGAAGAGGGTTGGCCATGCCATCTGCAGGTGAGGCTGGTGGTCCTGGCTGTGGTCTTGCTGGCTGGGACCCCTGAGGGCAGGCCTCTGGCTTGCTCCTTACGGTGCCCTGTACTCAGCCAACTGATGGTCTGAGGCCAGGACGTGAGAGGTCCCCTGCAAGGGCACCTCTTTACCCAGCTGCCTCGCCCTCGAAGGCTCCCTTGTTGGTCCCCGTGTGCAGCCTGGGCTCCAGGAACTGCAGCGTGGCGGCCTCCTTGGAGGACAAGCTCAGAGACTGTCTGCCTGTGAGCTCAGTGCTCAGGCTCCGAGATGACCATGGGTTTAAGCACACAGCACTGGGACGTGCTCCCAACCTGTGAGCCCAGGTTTTGCCTGGGAGGTGCCAGCGGCCGTCCCCATGCCCCACGCCTGCCCCCTTTGGAGTCCGACAGCCACACTGAGCACACACGGGGGCCAGGCCCTCAGGGACGGAGCCCTGGCCGCTGTCTCCTGGCAGAATCTGGACGGAGAGCCCAGTACCTGTAGAAGCCCGGATGTGACAGCCCGAGGGGCATCTGCGGCATCTGACCCTGCAGCGGGGCTGGGTGCTCCCACAGGCTCCCAAGGGCTTTCCCCCACAGAGGGCTCCTGGGGCACCTGGACATGAGCTTCTCGGGGGAGCCCTCTCTGAGGAGGGAGGGAGGGTAGGAGGGAGCTGACAGGAGTAGCAGGTGGTCCTAGTCAGGTGACAGGTTGATGGTTTCCTCTGCCCCCCTGACGGGCTGGGCTGGTGCCCGCCCGGAGGCCTGCAGCCAGGCTCTGGTCTGTGGGTGGATGGAAGAGGGTGACCCGCAGCCTGTGCCCAGCCCTGCCCGCTAGGGAAGGCTCCCAACCTGCACTCCGCCCCTGGTGACAGCTACGTGCTACGTGCATGGGCTACACCGTCCCACAGAGATTTGAACAAGACTTGGGCAGCAAGATCTACAAAAGTCTGCCCCTCTCCAGCCTGTGGCACTATGTCCTGGGGCAAAGAAGGGGTGTTGAGGGCAGTTCTGGGCTGGAATCCCCACCTCTAGGCTCATGTCGGGGGGCGGGGGGCCATTGATCGGGGGAGCGTCACAACCAGGCTCCCCGGGCCGATTGTGGAATGCGGGGGTCCAGCTCCGGTGCAGCCCTGGGGCCCAGTGGGGTGTCGGCAGCCTCCCCAGCCCCCGGGCCAGTGGCTGGTCTGGGGCCACAGTGCACACAGGCTGAGGTCTGTCTGGAGTTTGCTGAGCAAACACGTCACTGTTCTCAGGTTTCTGTTTCTCTGGGTGGTGATGCCCTGCCCTGGGGCCAGCCCCCAGCCCGCCCCACGCCTTGGCTTCTCCCTCCGCCAGTCATCACCTCCCCCGCCCTCCTTTTATGGAAGGAAACTGAGGCCCAGGGACATTGCCAAGGTCACTGCTAATTAGTGGCAGAGCTGCTGTGGTTCCATTACGACACCGCCTCCCACAGCAGAGGCAGGGCTGGGACGCCAGCCGAGGGCCTGTGCCGACGTCTCAGCAGATCCCACACTCCTCACACGTCTGTCTCCCACCTCAGGACCCCCCAGCCAGGCGTGGGTCCCCGGGCCAGCCTCTGCAGGGAGCCCTGCCCACCCCCTGCCCCCTCAGGGGGAAAGGGTTCCCGTGTCCTGGCAGAAGAGCCTGTGGGCTGTGGGGCAGGCGTCAATGCGGGAAGCCCGAGGGTCTTAGGGCTCCCTGGGGAAGGGGTGCATGCCTGCTTGGGGGGTTGTCACACAGGGAACTGGATGGAGGCGAGGGGCCGTGCCTGGCAGCGTTCTCAGCCTCAGCGATGTGCGGCAGGCCCTTCCTGGGGGACCAGAGCTCTGGGGTCTTGGTGGGGTGAGGCGCTCCAAGGGCACCCGAGGGGCGGGGTGGCTGCTGGGCCCAGTGGGCCAGACCCCTGCAGGGCCAGCGGCCCACAGAGCGGCCTTCGTGCTGGGTGGGTGGGCAGGAGCCCTGCAGGGCATGTGCACCCGGTGGGCAGGCCCCAGGTACTCCGTGTTTCTCGGCTGCATCCACCCCACCCATCTCTTCCCACCCCGTTTCTTCAGGAAATGGTTTGAAGCGAAAACCTGCGTCTTTTCACCAGAGCTGGGAGGGCAGGCTTAGGTGGGACTCCCCACCCTCACCGGCGAGGGGGTCGGGAACCATGGGAAGGAGGTGGCCTCACAGGAGGCAGTCCATCCCTCTGTCCCTCGGGCAGCCTTCCTGCAGCCGGGCTGCAAACCTCCCCCTTCTCCTGACTCGGGGACATGAGCTAATCCAGGCTGTGAGTGCGGGACGGACACACCAGCAGGGGGCTCACCAGGAGTGGGCTGGGGGCAGGCGGCTCAGCCTCACTGGAGGATCTGTATGTATAGGGACCCGGTCTCTGCCCCTCAAAGGTGGGCAAATTTCGGAGCCAGGTGCTGGGACTCGACCTCCTGCAGCCACAGAGGAGCAGGAGGTTCCCAGGGCCCTGCTCCGTCAGGCGCTGCCACCGCCTTTGTTATTTATGCCCCGCCTTGTTCCGAACAGGGATGGCATGCTCTCAGCAATGCAGGCCAAAGTCAGCCTGACAAGGTGGCTGAGCCCGTTTCCGCTCCTCCCTGCTCAGCACGGCTCCGGACCCTGGGCCAGAGCGGGAGGCACCAGAGGAATGCGGGAGGGACAAGAGGTCTGCGCCCAGGACTCCGAACACGAGGACGAAATACCAGCTGGGCCCTCATAGCCCACCGGCCACGGGCAGAGCGACCAGCCCTGCCTTCTCCAGCCCAGGTGGGCTCCTCCGCCCTGACTGACCTGCCTGCAGAGAGATGCCTGGAGCCAGGCCAGGAGAGGGACGGGCCGTGGGCCCCGGCACAGGCTGGGCGAGGGACCCATCACAGGCGGTTACCAATAGGTTCTGGTTGGGTGCAGACAGGATGGGGCATGGGGAGCTGAATATGGGGTGCCTTGGAGACACCCCAGAGGAGGAGCCAGGTGAGCAATGGGACACATGATGGAGGGTTAGCTGCATAGATGGTGGGCGAGCCCTGGACATGAGTGAGACCTGCTGGGGACCAGACCGGCAGAGGGGTGGAAAGGACAGGCCTGGGCCTGGACGAAGCCAGCGTCGGGACCAGGGGGACGGCCACAGGTGCGGGGCTGGACCCCTCCGCCTGGGCCTGCAGTTCAGCTGCCCCTGCGACGAGGGAGAGGCCAACCGAGTCAGGACACAGGGAACATCCCTCCGCAGCTGGGACCCAAATTAAGGAGAAAACAAAAAATTTTCAAAACCGGCGTTTGTTCTTTGTCTGCCATTTGTTTCTCCATTTCATTTGTTTCTCCATTTCATTTTCCTTTTTCTTCCAAATCTTCACCCAAGGATATTTTCCATGGATTTTTTTTTTTTTTGAGAAAGAGAGAGAAACATCGATGCGATAGAGCAGTGGTTCTCAACCTGTGGGTCGCGACCCCTTTGGGGCTCGAACGTCCCTTTCACAGGGGTCGCCTAAGACCATCGGAAAACACATATATAATTACATATTGTTTTTGTGATTAATCACTATGCTTTAACTATGTTCAATTTGTGACAATGAAAATATATCCTGCATATCAGATATTTACATTACGATTCATAACAGTAGCAAAATTACAGTTATGAAATAGCAACGAAAATAATTTTATGGTTGGGGGTCACCACAACATGAGGAACTGTATTAAAGGGTCACGGCATTAGGAAGGTTGAGAACCACTGCAATAGAGAAACATTGACCAGTTGTCTCCCACACGTGCCCCAGCCAGGGCCAGGGATTGAACCCGAAACCTAGGTACGTGCCCTGACTGGGCATTGAACCCACGACCTTTCAGTGTATGGGACAGCACTCCAAGCTGCTGAGCCACACTGGCCAGGGCCTTGTAGTATCTTCACGTGGACCCTTTTAGATTATTGATCATCATTGAACATGGTGAGTTCTCTTTAGACCTTCCATTTGCCAGGAGTTCACGTGGGTGATGGCCAAGGAGTGTTCCAGAACCAAGGGAGGGTTCCTGGGTCAGCAAAGCCTCTCCTGTGCACCTCTGAGCACCGGGTGGGACTGCTCACCTGGACTTCTCCCCAGCCACAGAGGTCAGCCGTGCAGGAGTCACAGGGGAGCCCTCCCCACCCCACCTCACCGGCAGGCCACTGTGGAGGTTTCCGTGTCATCTGTGACCCCCCAGAGCCCATGTCCCCGACCCCTGCCCGACCCTCCTGCAGCAGCCCTCTCTGGGCAGGGCCCCATCCCGGCGCAGGCTGTGACCTGTGGGCTCTCTTCCTGTGTCTCCAATGATGTTGGTATTTTCACTCCTCCGAGCCTGTTGTTCCCAGGTGGTTTCAGTGAGGACAAAGGACAGAGGCAGCTGCTCACTATTTTAAGGTCCAAGTCTGCATACGTGTTTTTCAACGTTTATCAAATTATATCTAAGTCACCTGTGGCCCGAGATACGTGGTTGTCAAGGGGACGTGTCTGGTCTTTACTGCGCTAGTGAGAGAGGACCTGTTGGTCGTGGCAGCAGACTCAGGGACCCCGACATCACCAGCTCCGGGACCAGGTGCGTCCCAGCCCCTCCCGCGAGCGCCGGACACCGCCTGAGCTCAGTGCTGCCCCCTAGCGGCTGTGTGGGCGAAGCTCTGCCCCACGTTGGTCACCTACTTGAGAAGCGGTGTTTTGTGGGGTCGTTTCCCACACGGACCTTGATTCAAGGTTCCTTCTGTGGGGTCCAGACTCAGCCAGGCATGTTGTGGTCTCATTCCCGATGTGCGCGGGTCCCTGGTCCAGGCTCGCAGAGAGAGCAGCCCTGGCCTCCTCCTTCCTAGAGAGTGGGGCCCAGCTCGGCCGCCTCCGCTGTCCCAGCGCTGCTGACGCTGTGAGCTCGTTCTCCCGGCTCCATGGCCCACGGCTGAGCCGACTGCCGGCTCACCCACCCAGGCCGCGCCCCACGGAGGGTCACGGTGCTCCTAAGGTCCGGCACCTTCTTGGTTCCCAATGAGAAGGACTTCATTCTGCATCCCGGCCTGGACATGTCCCGAGAGAGCCCGAGGTGGGCTGCGGCCAGGTGCTTCTGCAGAACGGCTATGCCGCACACCAGGCCCAGGTGTGCAGGGAGCCCTGGGTGTGAGGAGGGACAGTAACGGACCGGACCCAGGTCCCTGAGGCCCCGCCAGCTCCGAGCACGGGGAGAGCAGACGGAGCCCTGCCCCTGTGGTCGGTGCTCCCAGGGGTGGCGCGCAGACCTCTTTCCTAAATGACCCGCACACGTGTCCACAGGGCCCGCTTGTGCGCGGGGGCCGTGGGGCGGGCGACGCCTTCGGAGTTGGCAGGTGGCGAGCCCGGCAGACCTCCTCAGGCGGCCGCAGGAAGGCGTCCCAGCAGGCCGGTTTGGACGGCGTCCGAGTGGGGTGAGGAGAGAAGGGAGTCTGGTAGCAGTAAAAACAATAATAATGAAAATGTCAGAAACGCAGCCAGCCCTTCAGGACCGTTTCACTCGTCAGGTTGTTTTTCTCTTTTATTACTTGGCCCGATTCTCTCGCGCAGGTCGCACCCTGACTCGCCGACATTCGGGCCGGACGGCTCGGCAGTGGGCGTCCCCTGTCCCGGGCCCTGTGGGTGCTGAGCAGCACCCTGACAGCTGCCCACCCGAAGCCAGCAGTCCCCAGACGTGCAGAGCCAGCGGGAAGGCATCTTTAGATTCCGGTAACCCCGGCCCTGCTCCCGGCCCCCACTCCTCTCCACCCTCCCGAGCCCTCCAGTTCCCGACACCTCAGTCACACGTGTGATATCCCCTCCTCAGTTCTCAGAAGGTCTGCTTCGAACCCAGGAGAAATGACTAAGGGACGGGCCATAAACCAGCCTTCCCATCAGGCCCGGAGGAAAAATAAGCCACTTGTCCTTCTGGGCACGCTTCCCGAGGCCCTTGGACGAGCTTCGCGAAGGCCTGTCCTCCTCCCACTCCAGCGTCCTTCCCAGGGCTGGGCGTCACCAGAGCGGCCGCGGGGCCTGCCTCCCGAGGGGTCTCCCGCCACCTCCAGATGGGGCCTCGGCGGCAGGCACCGAGGGTGAACAGGGTCAGTGGGCAGAGCGGCTCCAGAGAACGGCGCTCTTCACACTATTGCTAAAATATGGGTGTTTGCGAGGGTTGCTACAGAAACACCAAGTGTAGAATCCAAAATAGGGCGTCTAGACACACTCCTACTGTCTGACCTTTGCTGTGTTTCCTCATCCACCCAACCTGGCCCAGCGAGCGGGTGACTAAGCAGTGAGTCACTCGACACCCTGTCACAGGCCCGACGAGGCCCAGGTCACTGCTGTAAATTTCAGCCTGTCTGCGCCGGCGACGCGCAGCTCCCCACCGCCAGCACCGTCTCGTGTGGCTTCTGAGCCGCGATGTCTGGATCGTCAGGAACTAATGTCAAGTCTGTTAAGTCCAGAAGCCGAGGGGCTGCCGCAGAGCAGAGCTCGCGTTTGGCGGGAGCCGTGAGAAGGAAGGCGGCGACAGGCCGCTGGACCTGGACGGAGAGAGGCGCGACCTGCAGGCCTGTACTGCGGGGCCCGGGGCGCTGGTGCTGGCCTGCGGGCGGATCCTCTCGGCCCTGCACCGAGCACCTCCCCACAGCTGGCAGCTGTATCTCACAGTGGCCTGTGGGGCGGCCCTGACGCCAGGAGACACATCTGTGATCTGAATAAACTCAACATGCAAACACTTGACTTTGTAGAACTGGGGACTGGTTTATTTTTCCCAAACCCGGTGCCCTGAGTGTCAGGAACATGGCGCCCACGCAGCCCGGGGCATGGGTGGCTCTGCTGGGCGTGATCACAGGCACACCGTGGCAAGAGCCTGGCAGAGGGACTGACAGTCCGGGGACCGCAGGGAAACACAGCTTCGCCGTGGACGTGGCTGAAGGACCCATGAGCATTGGGATTGGGGCTGTGCCGTTGGGACGTACCTGTGGTTTTAAAAACAGAAACAAGTAAGATAGGAGTTGTTTTATTGGACAAGAGGCCCTTTTGCCAGGACAGTGTTGGTGCCATGGAGCAAGGGGACCCTGAGCCTTCGAACGGGCCAGATGCTGTGAACTGTCCCAAAAGAAGACAGCTCTCACCAGGCAGCATCACTCTTGGGCCCGAAGGTGTCCCAGAGCCACGCTGCAGCTGTGGTGGGGGCTGTGGGAGCCATGCGTGGCACTGAATGGTGGGCAAGACCCAGTGGCCACACCTGTTCTGGGACGAGTGGTCTTGACCCCTGACCTCTCTGGCCTTCAGCTCCCAGAAAGAAAGGCTAAAAAATGTACTCACCACCCAATGTTTCTTTTCAAGGTTTTCATTTGCTCCCCTCCCTCCCCCCGGATTCTGTTGCTCCAGGCTCCTTGAGGGATGTAAAGGGTCGGCCACAAATAGCAGGTGAGACGCGTCGCTGAGGTGTCACAGCATTAAGTGCTCCGACCGCGTGTGGCCGGCCGGGGAGCTGGGCAGGCGGGCGATGACTGGCCGCAGGCGCAGAGCGTGGTATGGTCGCCTGCACCACGGCAGCACGGAGGATTTACTCAGTTACTGCTTAGTGCTCTCAACTAACTTTCTTTTAATAAAGAACATTCGCTGAAGAAAAGGATGGAGGCTAAAAACAAACCTGCATCCACGATCGAATCGAAATGACACAGGTCAGTGCTTCCTCAGCTCCCAGGGCTCCACCAAGATGAAGGCTGGAACGA